AATAATTTTTAATTTCAGCAGCGCGCGCAAAGTGTTGTCTTTGGTTTGTAGATTCGTTCATTGTGCTGCCACTTTTCCGGTGGCGTTCAGCATGGCATTGTATTGAAGAGTGAACACAATGTTAATGCGGAAATTGCTGATCACACTCATCCTTTAAATATATGTTATCAATCTAGCCCCCTGCTTCACGATTAGGGTATGAAACTTAGACAGAAGATTATCTATGATTGTAATTTAAATAAAATGGCCTTACAGGCTACTTTAGCATCTACTCTTCTATATTAAGGGGCGGTTTTTACTTTAAGACTGAAGGTTGACTTTGATGTATTTTTCCTCTTTCTATTTTAAATGAAGCGAAGGCATCTAGTGGTTCATTGAGAAAGCCACGGTCTATAACAGCTAAATTACACCTCAAGTGCCACTGGAGGCAGCGCCATGTCTCCTGAGCACTTTGAAGGAGCAAAAAGGGAAAAAGGGAATGCTTGCTGGTCACAATGTGTTGCATTGAGGTAGATGGTTTCGCCGCGGCATCAAGCCACTCTTTTAGTAGCCCGTGGTATTGGCGCGTTTCTTATCCGCGAAATCTGTCGTTTCCATTTTATATTCACGTCGGTAACTACAATAACTGAAAGCACAAATTTTAGGTGGTTACTAGATTCGAACTTACGACCGCACGCTCAGAAGCCGAGTTCGGTACCCGTGTGGCCACACCAGCGGCTCTTATGGGGCAGACCTGTGCACTCTGTTTCATAAATCACGCTAAATGGAGCGAACTTTTCACGCTAACGCTTTCGTGGCACAGCGCTTGGAAATTGAAAATTTTGTTTCAGCAGCATGACATAACAAAGTAGAGGTCACAGACCTGCTATACAGAAAACGCTGCGCACTATCCACACCTCTCTCAAGTTTCACAGCTTCGTCAGAAATAGCGACTTTGCATATTGAAAAAAGCTTCGAAATTTATTCAAGCTATAAATTATTTACATACCATGTCCTCGTAAGGACATCGTCCGGAATATGAAAGCAATTTCTTCAGTAATAACACATAAATTACGATCACATTTGGGCGCACGTTAAAGAACCCCGGGTGGTCGAAATTTCCGGAGCCCTCCACTACGGCGTCTCTCATAATCATATGGTGGTTTTGGGACGTTAAACCCCACAAATCAATCAATCAATCAATCAAATTACGATCACATATTAAAACTTACAACACATATTGACGTCACAAACTTGAAGGCAGTCGTACAATTATCATAAAAGTACCATTTTATCTTTCTACCCTACAAAGTGGCCGCGTATTTGTATATAACTGATGCAAAACCATTCTTTGTGTTTACCTTATTGCGCACAAGGCGCCGATAAGTGCGTATGAGAGTGCGACTTCTGTGTGCCGTAATAAGATGTGCATCACAGCGTTCGGTGAAGAGAGAGAGGTAAACAGGAAGGCCGGGAGGTTAATCGAATGTTAGCATCCGGTTTGCTTCTGAGCCCTGGGAGTGGGAAGGGGGTTAGGTGTAGGAGATATATCCCAGCTCACTCCTGCAACTTAAGGGACGGTGCTTTAGTTTGGAAATTCAGCAAAAATCGCAGTCGCAAAAAAGATGCTAAAAAAACAAGAATGTTGTATGGTGGCTTTATTTTACGCCACGCCTTGTGCCACAGAAGGTTTACACGGGTAGCCGCATTTCGTGGTCAGCGCACCACTAAGCGTGGCTCAATCAAAAATTTGAAGCCACCTAATTAGTCAACGTGACCTTTTTGAAACGCAGAAACAATTAACTACTTAGACAGAACAATTGTTATCACAATTCACGTGAAAATTTTAATGTAAATATATTTTGTTTTCAGAGGAAGTTTACAACCAAGAAGCTAACTAATGTAACGTGTAACTAGTGTTATGATTTGGAGACAGAACTGCTTTGGTTGTTCTTGAAACCGTTGTCTACTGTGCCAGATAATTCATGTTTTGTGATGGAATTCAAATGAATAGTATTGGGTTTTTCATAAAAAAATACCTAAATATTTTACGCCCAACGAATTCTTTGCACCCTTAACCAGCGCGCACCGTCATGAGCATGCAGATAAATTGAAAATGAACAGAGCATATTTCGGGATATGTTTCAAATGGATTTCGTTACGGTACAAACGAATAAAGAAAGTAGGATAACGTGACTTACTTTATAAAAAAGTGGCACTTCAGAAATTCACGCTCCTCTGCTAAAACACATCTGCAATGAAAGCCTCGATGTGCTGAATAATAAAGGGTCAATATTGTATGCAACAAAAACAAAATTGCGAACAAGAACTACAGAAAATAAGCAAAAATAAACTAAAAATTGCCAAACGCGTACATGAGAGGGAGAAAAAATGAAACATAGTAGCCGGACTGGCACGCACGCAAACTAATGCAAGTGAGGGCCCACACTGAATACCACAGGGATGCCGACACGGACACGTAATGAGAAAGCTCGAAGGGAATAAAACGTGGAATGGAGGGAAGATGACTGGAGAACGGTCCGAAAAGGATGAGACGCGTCTGCAGTTGCTGCCCTTTAAGAAAGCTCATCGCGTGCCTGAGGAATGAGTTACTGACGGGTCGCCCTTAATAAGGATGACATGCAACGCCCAGCCACAAGTTGCGGTTTCCTGCGTGTCAATTGCGTCCCTTGCACTTTCATCTAAGAAACACGAGTCCTCGGACAGGGCTAGACTGGACAGAGCAGCGGGGCTGGAGGAGTTGCCACTGACAACGCTCTTTCCTTTGATCTGCAGCCAGAGAGAGTGAGGGAGGAATGCGTGATTGAAAACGTGACTTGCTTAGCGACTCGAATCACGTCCGGAACCAAAAGCAAGAAGAGCAAATAAAGCTAAGTATTAACGCCACGCCACAAGCGCACCATCGACGGAGTGGTCAAGATATACATGTATGCTTTGTAATAGGTAGGCTGGTGTATGTATTAAAGATGAAAAAAAGTATAATGGCTGTAGAAGGATGCAGCACTACGGGCTTTCCTTCTTCCACGCCTGAATAATTCTTCTTGATTATTTGAATGCCACTTTGATGTGGAGCATTCCGCTAGAGAAACATACGCAAAATGAGTAAACATAGAGACGTCCATAGTTGACAAGTTCATACACCTCCTGCGCACTTCGCCAGTCGAGTGTTCTCTTTCATTCTACCGGTGACGTTAGAGGCACGACCCAATCACTGGGCTTCTCTATTCGTTTCCGGACTGCTCTGATAGAACTCCGCGAGTCTTTTTTTTACTGCGTAATCACACGCGAGAGGGTAAGTGTTCATCGAAGAAAGATGCAGCGGGGTAGAAGAGGGAGAGGCCGAGTTTTTTTTTTTTTTTTTGAGGCCTAATGCATTGTTAACTCGACGGAAAGATCTACGCAGACGAGTGAGACGCTCTTGAAGCAATGATAAAAAGGAAACAATTAAAGAGAAAGGTTGCCTTCCTCAAAGCCATTCCGTCGCTTTGAAGTCATCGGGAAGGTATCAAGAGCCATTAGGGAGAGCGTACTCAGCTGCAATCAAGAGCGGCAAGAAACCGCAGGCAGTATCAACTCGTACTTCGCAGAAAGACTACAAATATTGTCGTGACCATTTCACTATTTTTATCTCTGTTCTTACAGAGAATACGTTTATAAAACAAAGTAAAGGCAATTAGCTGATAACAAAATGGATTCCATTGCAGATGTATTGACAGCATGGATGGTTGATGAATCCTCTTCTCTGTTCACTTCCTGTCAAATACATTTAGTTTTTTTTTTCTTTTTCTTATCATTCCTAAGGATCAGCAAGCGAAGAGGGCTTAACTTTCAGTGCGGTTCACGACACATCGACTCTCATCCGAGAGGACATAAGCGAGGCAGGACCCACTGGGGTGGGCAGTTCTGGTAACGACAGTCTTCCTTCATACACTGCCTTCCGGGCGCAATCAGTTCAGCACGGCAGCTTCTTCGAAGCACTTTCTTGTTATTTCGATGTCTGTTGCCTGTCGCGCGATGACAGCAAGTGACCTGGAAGCCGCCTTGGGTCCCGCCGTAGTGATACCAGTTTTGGTTGCGCCACAATAAAGGATCGTTACGGGCCCGGATCTGTTCCGATCGGTTAACCTGAGCTGGTCTGGGGAAGCTTCAGCAAAGCGCGCAGTACAAAAACGTGAGTTGATCTGCCGAAAACGGGTCTCGAGCAAAGCTCTATGGCTGTGGCGAATTGGCCCCCTGCGTTGCAGAGGCCTCCTCAACTGGCATTGATCCGGAGGTCCGACTGCGCAAGACGTCTAACGACGCTTTTTACGCAATAAGAGCAACGTCAGTCACGGGCATTCCCTTCCTCCAGTAGAGTGCCGAGGTGGCTGCTGACACGGTAAAGAAGGGGAAATTGGCTGGCTTTCTCGAGCTTGAAAACTGCACCGAAAAAAAAAAAGGTCAGAAGCAGAGGATGCCAACAGGAAAGACGGCATTCCTCGAGTGAATGCTATGCTGACAGCGTGTTCAACAACAGTTCCGATGCAGAAAATTGAAATCACGATGCATGAATCATTGACGAAAGCTTGACACCTTACACACACACACACACACACACACATTCTATATATATATATATATATATATATATATATATATATATATATATATATATATATATATATATATACAACCACGCTATACAAAGGGCTATCGTACTGAGCGCTTTGCCAGTACATTATCGCCCTCTATGTCGCAGTTCTGGCCAATAAATATCATACGACCATGCTCTATTTTTTCACAATGCTCTGCTCACTTGCAGATGTCGGCTATCGCATTAAGTAACCGTACAGAGCGTTTTACAAAGAACTACTGCTGACGAATAATACCCTTGACCGACACAACCTTTAGACGAGACAAGGTTGGGAACCTTATGTCGACTAGAAGCTAGTGGTCGGAATGGTGTGACCATAGACAGAAACAGCTGAGTCGTGCAGAAATGCAGACGAGGGCAGACTGACCTGGCCTGACGCAACTCCAGCCGCAGCGTCCGTCGCAGAGGCACTTCTTCTTGGAGCTGATGCAGTCCTCATCGGTCTTGCACTTGCGCAGGCAGCGGCGGCCCAGCGCGGCCGCTTCCTCCCGGTTCTGCGGGCAGCCCTCGCGAACGTCCTCCTCGTCTCCCTCGGCTACGGATTAAAAAGAAAGAGCACGTTGACACACAAGTGTCGATATTACGCGTCCTGCGTCACCTCCCAAGTAATTCGTGGGACACTTAGTGCTCCTTCATCTCGCGCTCGAACAAGCGTCGCATATCACAACAGAGTGCGCAAAAGTTCTTCGAACTTGGTTTGGCCAGATGCCAACTCTTATGTCGATGGCTACCATTTTTCTACATCACGCGAACAACGGCCAGTCAGTAGCAATGCCCATGTGCAGACACTGTGGTGGAACGTGCTGTAAGATGCGATGCTAGTATTCAGAGTAGTGAGTGCAAACCGGTTTTATTACGCCCAATCTCCTTTAGAATCTCGATAGCACGAAGGCTAGCCATACTGAACACTCGCGGACCTTCATATGGCACCTTCTTCAAGTTACTAGATAACATGACGAGGCACGACACTTTGGCTCCCGTATCGCTTACATGAATTCTGCTGCCAGATTTGGAAGGCGATTATGAAAAGCACAAAGACTCTGCCAGTAACCAAATTAACATACGCAATGGAAACGGTTCTTTTCGCATGGATTAGCTGGAAAAAATAGAAGACCTCATTTTCAACGGTGTCGTTAAATGAGCTTGAAAAACATGACTGATAGCCATTTTGCCGTCTTAGTGCAGCGCTTAGACTGCATGAGCAATACTTTCTGGGAAAGCTTCTCTTGGTTTGGCTAATTGGTTTCTTTATGGGAAAATGAAATGCCACTGACATTAATGCTACGCTCAGGGAGGATTCACTAACGTCGGAAGAGGCCTGTCCGCTCGAGTCCGCAAGCAGTCTGAAAAATATCAGCTTATGCAAGTGCATTAATCTGTATACGCACACCCAAGATGGGGCCGAATGTGGAAGACCCGTGCAGAGCATGCACTCACTTGGCGGAATTTCAGCTCCGAAGATCACTCATAATGTCATGACTGGTGAGGGGAGGAGGGAAAGCAAAAGAAACATGTACTTCGTTCGTTCGAGTGAAAGAAAGAGTCCGCATGAGGGCGGCAAGTAGCGTGGTATATCAAGAGGGTTTGGCCACTACAAATGATGCGTAGACAAGGGAGTTATGGTAATAATAGACGCTATGGGAGAGTTGGACACGTGGAAGTAAAAATTTAATTTGTTTTTTTTTAAACAAAACCAGCGCTGGTTAAACGCCAACCTCGTCCCGTAAGCTGAGTGCATGTCGTCGTGTTGCGACCTAACAGGCGAAAGCATCCGCTCGGAAGCTGGTGGATGAGTGATTTCTTTTCGGAAAGCCCCCCAGCAGGTCCAAAGTGTCTAGAAAAGAGGCTTTAGCAGCGAAGACGTATCGCGGTGTCTGTTCATTAATATGGATCAGAGCGCGGGCCCACCTTTCCCTAAGCAGCCAGCTCAAGGAGCTGCGCGCATAGGTGGAAGAAACGGTGCAGCTTGAAGATAAAACTAAAGCGTGGCTGCAAAGAACGTACGATGCTTTAAACAGAGCGTTTCTATAAAGGCTCTCGTCTCTGGTACAAAGCAGTAATAAGCGCGTGTTTCGATGTTCCCCAGCATTAAATATTTAAAATGACTGGGAGGTAAGCCTTTAGAGCGCTTCATGTTTTAGAAGAAAGACAAAAGGGTGCGCAGAATCCGTGGGTTTCTAGAAAAAAAAGAGAAAAAGGCTGAATATAAGCTTGGACAAAAAGAAAGAAGAACGCTAAATAATTTCGCAGGCTCTTTTTATTATTGATATGATATACGGAGATGTTAGCGCACAAGTAAGGTGCAGGCTACTCCTTAGCCCTTGAGTGAATGCTGAAGACATCTTGAACGAAAAAATAAAGAGCAGTGCATGGAAAATAGAATACCCGAGCACAAATAAGTGAAAACACACGCATACTCACATTTCAAACAACACCAACGTAAAGTTAAAGAAATGTTTGAAAGTAAATTAATAATGTTTCTGATAATGTTCCTAGTTAAAATTCAATCGCGGATTCCTTAGCGTGCATGAAATACAGCGTGGCCATGCTTTTGGCAAGTACGTTTACTTTTATTGAATGGTTTTAAGCAGAAAATAAATTTTTTCCAGATGTGAGAATGCCTAACCTATGTTCCTGCTCATCGGAAAACTTCCAAGGACCAATTTTGCGTGCCAGCAGCACTAAGCAATTTTGGAAGAAGGGTAGCATTGGTCGGCACACTTGATCGAGGCACGCTTGCACTGCATGGCGTTGTACTGCAAATGAAGTACGGCTACTATGAAAGTATACTCATTTTTGTTTATTTGCTTGTGAAGTTTGTACAGTGTTTTTCTCTCATTTCGTCAATAGTACAGAGTCCCCCCCCCCTCCCCCTCCCCCTGGCATTCGCTCTGCTTTCTGCGCCATATAGTAAGTTTCGCCCTGCTTTGTAACTTTGTCTCTCTTTATTTGTGCTTAGTTTTTAAACTCTATGTGAAGACGTCAAAGCGTTGAGGGAGCATTGTGTCAAAACGCTGTAAAATAATTAGACATATTGTATTAACCGGCTCCTTGTGACTATGCCTTATGCAGTGTGGTTCTGTGTCGGTGGGACCTTGACATTGACATAATGACGTCGTAGCATTCTCTGTTTCTTGAATTCTTATCGTTCCTTGGCCTATATGTCTATCAGTCTCTATAGTATATATAGATATATATTTTAGACCCTGAAATACGAACACAGTTCCGGTTACTTTATGTCACAATTAGGGTTAAGAACAGCGCACACAAACAAATAGTAGTAGCAACAGGTGAGAAGCAGGAACAAGTGGTAAGAAGGTTAACCAGAAAGAGGGTAAAAAACAGTGTCCTACTCTGTAGTCGAGAACGAGAGATTTAGAAGCATAGGTTGAGATCCGATAGAGATGATTTAGGAACACCGCAGTCGGTTACTGTTACTGCAAACTTCCGAAGGTCAACATCCTCGCTTGGCATATCCCACGAGAACAATAATTTGGGCTGAATACTGCTGTCTCTGTTGCGCCATTGTTCACAAAAACTGTTCTGATGCCTCCACCGCTGTCAGTTTAGTCAGCATTCTGAAGACTCGAGACGCGTTACTTATAGCCGTATATATGCAGTCCACAAAACCAACAACAGGGAAGTCGAAAAAACCTATACCGACTTCGCGGTTATAAGCCGCTCACATGAGAAATGCACACAAAGGAAAAAAAAAACTGTTACTTTACGAAATACATCAAAGCAATGATTAACCATACAACCTTCTGGTGCCGATGACGGATTATAAAAATTCGTTCATAGCTAGATTTTTTTCGTTCCCATTTACAAATGAATGCGTTATCACAGTCCTACATGTACTGAAAGTTCTCAATGGCCGTTGAGCCTTTGGAAAGCAGCGCCCATTGCGTCGACTGTGCCTCTGTACATATGTTTTTTAGCGCTGCGTTAACCAAATGTTTGATCAACAGCTAACGTGCTCGAACTAGAGTTCTGTTCACTTACCATATTTTATTCAAAGTGGTGGCAAAACAAGTGTAGGCTAGATATATACGCTCAAGGAATCCTAAATTGTTCTGAAAGCATGAAGAAAAATTGCCTTTAAAGAGACAGACTAGTGTTCGATTTATGTAAGCTGTGGCGTCGCAATTGTGTCATGTGCTGCTCAAGTACATACTTAGGACAAGCTGTATTGCATGCATACTACAACATGTAAAATTCCTATGCCTTGTTATCATTATACCACAAATAAATGTAAGGCGACATCATCTAGCACATATGTTGTAGATAAGACATAGGGAGATCAGTTACGGAAGCATATATGCAGAACGCTTTTTTTACCCATATGCAGGAGCTGCCCACACTAACTCTTGTTGGCGAGCCACCAACGTCGGCATGTTTCAGCAAAGACGACCTTTTGAATGATAGTGGGCAGTTATTGCGTCATGTTTGAGAAATCAGTGATCGCTGAAGAGCAAACTGTAGTTGCAATGCGTCACGAAGGTGGCATATTTCGCCCCAAGGAACAATGTATCAGCTCAGTATACCAGCCATACTGCTGGGCAAACATTGCCGTGAGCCACACGCTCCCAGTATCGCGTTTTATTCGCCGAGCACTGTACATATATAAGAATTTGCACCATGTTATGTAAATATCGGACGATCTTGGACATGAGAACCAGAGAGCGGGATAAATAGTGGTGCAAGATGCAAGGCACCGTGATTGAATTATCATTTTTCACTGTCCAGCCACTTCCATTGTCCCCTTCCCCATCTTGTCCTCACACGCACGCGTGCGTTAGGACCCATGAACTAAAAAAGTTGGGCAAGTTAGTTCTAATGCATTTTCTGTTATATACTTTGCAAGCACGAGAAACCCCAGGGACAGACGTGTGCAACAGGACAGTATATTTTCTCCCTCTACCTCTCTCGTTGTACAATATTCATGCGTCACAGAAAATACGTTACAACAGAGCGAGAATGGCAAGAAAGTCTTGATTATTTTCGTGAAGTAATACCCCCCCCCCAAAAAAAAAACAAAAAAAGAAGGCCTCGCGCAACATTCATCACTGCCTAGAATATTTTGCCATGGCCAGTTCTATCTATCCAGCTCATTACACGGCGGCTTTGTTTCTCGTCAATCACTTGGCCTAAGGCAGGCAGCCTGCTTATAAGGAGCAGCGCCAACCGCTTGCTCCCTCGTCACCTGCTTTAGTTTCGAGCAGTGAGAACGCTATGCTATCCCTTAGCCGCGAAGCGCGCTGAACCAAGAGGTCGTCTCGCTTGAAAGCATGCCTCCTTCATGGAAGCGGCTAGAACACTGTAGCGTATGTGCCACCTCTGCAAGGCGCCGCTACTCAGTTCGTGGAGAATCCACCGATCGGTGGAACCAAGCTTTGATTCAGAGGACCACTCGGAACACCTGGTGAATAGTAGCTCCTCTCTAAGGCTCTGTGAAAACGGACGAGCACTCGCCAAGAGCCTCGTA